GACTATTGGTAAGTCCTAAACAACTTCAGGGCCCTGCTCAATCGCTGATAAGGCAGCTGTCCTGCAAGCACAGAAGCCCAACGGTGTGCAAGTTGCCAAGTCATACTATGGGCCCTCTGGACACCTGCGCATGCTCCACTGACACGCTGCGGGGGATGAAGATTGCTCCTGACGACCCTCATACACATGTGCTAAACAGGAGAAGGGTAGCAAAGCAGCTCTTGGGACACTATATAATGCCACTATGAACAACTACTCTCCAAAGATATTCCCCACCAAATCAAGTGGACCTGTGAGACACTGCTGGATGGTAGCTATACTGCTTGCTATCTTAAACATCTTACTGCTTCACTTTTTCATTTCCTTATCTTTCTTTCCTATCACTCTCCAGTGGTTGTTAGTCAATTAAAGGTCTTGCTGTTGTGACATCTGACACCGATTGTGTCTTAATTTCACTTCTGGGATCAAAACAAATCACCTTGACTCTAATCTCTATCAGGAATAAGCAGGTCAAGACAGCTGTCCAGAGAAGCTGTGGATGTCTCATCATGGGAAGTGTTCAAGGCCAGATTGGATGGGGCTTTGCGCAACCTGGTCTAGTCCCTGCCCAAGGCCGAGGGGATTGGAACTAGATGATCTTCAAGGTTCCTTCCAACTCAAATCATTCTATGCTTCTATGATGTTCACTATGCTCCTGTGCACACTGTTAAGGGTTTAACACTTGAATTTCCACAGGAGCAGAGGGAGCTAAATTTCTCCTAGTCCAGATGATCTGAGTTCAGACTGTAAGAACACAAAAACTGAATAATCTCATACAGTAATGCTGTATAAGAACCAGGTACTTGTCTATGACTGAGGCAAAGAGCAGATAGCTTGGGAAGAGGTCAGGAGACAGGAAACATTACAGTCTTATATCCATAGTGTACCCTCCTACCTTCCAGCAATCTACAGCTCTAATATACTAGGATGATCAGATCTACAGACCCCCAGAAAATGACCTCTTACCATTTACAGGCTGACATGTGCTCTTGGCTCACAAAAATAAGAATTTTGGTAGCTTTTAATTCAGGCCTCTGTGTGATTTAGGGAGCCCATAAAGAAACATGCATCAAAGTGTGGCAACCCTTCACTAAGTTATTTCTACCTTCTTCTCAAAACACTAGTAAGGCTGAAGGCTGAAGATGCCCCAGGTCCAGTGTTTGTGAGAGCTGTATGAAGACCACACAGAGCCTTCCCTTTCAATTTTATCACCTAACAGTGGCTGGTGACTTGCGTTCACTGTTCATAGGAGTGCCAGAGAAAATGTCAGCCACCCTGCCCCACACAGCCTTTTGCCTGATTATTGATATTAATGTTCACTCCAAACAGGCGGGAACTTGGTCCAAAACCTTCTCTGGTCTAAAGCTACTGACCTCACTGGTTTACTTCATAGAATACATTTGTACCTTCTATACTTCTGCCAGTTGGCACCTCTGGAGCTTTGCTAAAGTGAATTGAAGTGGTATTTTTCACTGTGGAATCCAGCAAAAGAAAGAAAACCTCAGTAATCCTTGGTATTTTTAGAACAGATATTTCAACTTATATCTCCTGTTCCTGCTTATCTGCTTATTACAGGAGTGGTTTAACACTGAAGTGGAAGAGTGCTGCACCATATGGGTGTGTGCCCACGTGTGTGTGTTTGGGGCGGGGGTGGGGTTGTGTGTGTGTGTGTGTGTGTGTGTGTGTGTGTTCAGAGCAGGCAGGGCTCATGGACAGTGGAGGGCAACTGAGGGAGTGTTACAGTGTCAGGGCTATCAAGAAATATTACGGTGAGGAACCACACACTGCACACATACATCCTGGGCACTGTGAAAGGAGAGAAAGGACTGTGAAGATGCCAGTTAATGGCATCTGATGACCTTCTATCGGTCATCAAAAAAACATGTCATGGTTTTGCCTGTAGATCCCATTGTTAAATCCTTCAATATTGCAGAAAAGCCCTTGGCCTCACAGGGCTGAGTAGAGCTCTCTCCAGCAGGCCTCTTTTTATGGACTGTGTTGCAGTCTAGAAAAGGGAACACGAGGTTTCCTCTTTTCTCTGTAAGAGCTGTACATGCCTGATTGTCTCTAGGTACAATTAAGCCATACCCTTTCCTCTTATGCTGCAACCATTTTTCTGTGATATCTGGCACAGCACATACTACAGTTGCATCTTTCCCACCTAAATCAGCTGCTGTGCTTAAAGCTGATGGAAACTGTGTTCTAACCATGAAACACTGATCAAAAGTGAGAAATGTAAGTCAGATATTATTATGCTTTAAAGGAAGAAAATTATGCAATAGCATTAAAATGGGAAAACCAGCTATTACACTTTGGGGTGTGAGGGGGTGCCACACCCTAAAATATATTGTCTTATCCAGAGATTAAACATTAGGAAGTCCTGGAGAATCTTCTCACTGGACAAATTGCTTGTTTGACCTTACTAGATTACTATTAGAAGACAACAACAAGAATAGCTTCTGAAGACTTAGCTACCTGTATCATTTAATTACTCTACTCCAGATCAACCTCTCAAGTTTCTCAACTGACTTTTGGGACTGGTTGATCTTTTTACAGCCAAAGGAGCCCTCATTAAGATTTCTGGTCTCCTACTAAAAGCAAACTTCGTCAGGAAGAGCTTTAGCACTCTATAAGCATGTTGTAAGTAGTATAACAGCTTGGCATCGTTTCCTCTGTTAGAACCTTTAAATGTCAATCTCTCCACAGAGAGCATAAAGCATTATGGTCTAGAAATCCACTAGTTTCCTCTATTAAATATTATTTACAGAAATTTATAGTAATACTTTAAACCGATACGTATGTTTTTCTCCATATATTCTTAGAATAAAATCCGAACAGAAACTTCCGTATTTATTATGTAGCTGATAGTTACCAAGGAGATTTATGAACCTCTGCAGAAGGATTGACAGTGCCTTATCAGATAAAGTTAACCCTGTCATGTGCGAACAGTATAAATGCTACTAAGACTATGACTAGATTATAAATTTATCACAATTTTTAAGTTCATTCAGATGTAAGATCATCACTTTTTCTTTTGAACACACAGGCAAGGGCGAGGCCACCAAAGTTATCATGGAGGGAAAAAAAAGCTGCTTTTGACAAAAGCAAACAATTTTGCTAGGTTACTTGTAGCTCATCAAATTAACCGGAACACAAACCAAACTAAAATATTTTTAGAATTTCCTTTACAAAAGGAGGGCAAGGCTCTGATTTAGTATTTTTAGCATTAGTTCACAAAACAATCAGCTTTTTTTTCTCTTTTTTTAAACTCTAATTTCTCATTTTAAATCCTCCCCTGCCCTATTTTTGTTGTTTGGGCTTTTTTCACTATGTCTTCCTTACTAACAAACAATGTGTAAGAATGCAAGGATGAACAAATAAAGTTACTACTGAAAAGTCTCCACTTGCTCAAGTGTTAAACCTGAAACTGTATGGTATTAGTTCTTTCAGTCTGGCTCTGTCTGACTTTAAACCCAGATTTTGCATATATACATATAAGGAGAATATGAGGGAGTAGGAACATCCAAACTGCCGAAACTGATGTCTGACAGCATGACTGGGTTATTCATGCTGCCTCACTAATGCACCTAACAAATGTATCTCACTTAAAGGACTAGTTTTATGAGGTGACAGATGGAGACAAATCTTTCAGATGGCAATTTGCTGATGTTTGCCTTATACTAATTGCAAAGAGGCCAGTGTAACTCCATTGATGATATAGGGAGCCTAGAAGGAGTAACCACTGATGTTAGTTACCTCAGAGAGAATTTCCCCTATGTCTACCATGCTGTCTCCAGAAGACACTGTTCCACAGCGTGTCAAGCTACTGCAAACTGACAACTGAGTAATTTACTGCATTGATTTTAGCCAAGGAAATGCATGGACAGGGAATAAGACAGTTGTTTTACCCTTTTAACTACTTTTGCCCTCAATAAATGCTGGAATTCAAAAATGTCTTGAACTCAGTTTTTCTGCAACCCTATTAGAAATTTCAGATCATGTAGTGTACCTCTGCTAAAGGCAGTGCTAAAGACATCTGGGTCCTTGAAGTGTTGATTTGTGTTATGCTTTGAGTGGAAAGCAAACAGTGAAAACCAAAACCACTAGACAGTTTAAAAAAATTCCAAGAAACAGATGTCGGTCTTCTGATCTCAGCAAATACTTCCTACATTTGCAAGTTACAAATTAAGCCTAACCTGAAAAGCTTGAAAGTCAAAGGAGTTATTATGCAAGAATTAAGAAGTGGGCTGGGGAAAGAAAAAAAAATAATGGAAATCTGGGGTAATATCAGCAAGAGGAGGGTGACTGGCTATTGTTTCTACTGCCTTTCATTAAGTAAAAGTGATGTGATGCTGGACCCAAAGCGTCAGACATGACCACAGTTGAAGAGGTTTTATATTCACTGGTTACTTAACAGTAACTCCCAAACCATAGCAATCAGCTCAAGCAACAGATGCCTTTCCTGAACACATAGGTGAAAATTCTCAAGGATGCTTGACTTGCAGCAATGTCTGGGCTAGTAGCTCTCCCCTTGCTTTTGAAAAATGCCCCAGACCATAAAAAAGAAGGTTAAGACTCTCTGTTGGCAATCCCAAACTGCTGCAATATTTCTTCCTATATCGGTGGGTTGGACTAAGGCACTGACTTGATTGGAAGCTGAGTAAGTTTCAGTACTCTGTAGTGCAAATCTGGTAAATAAAAGTTCACTGAAGGGAGTGCAAATATTCTAGACTCTATTGATCTTTAAGGCCTGTCAGATGACACGGAGACAAAAACACTCATGCCTAGACACCTCATAGTCTTACAGATATCACTTCTTACGCTCTGGGACTGACATCTCACCCAGCTTTGGGTCAATCACAAGTGATCACACAAGTCAGAAAATACAAGATATGGTGTAACACAGTAAATAGAAGCTCATTAGCTGAATAAAAAGAAGGAAAGGGGAAAATCTGTCTTACCTGGTCGAGATTGTTGTAAAAATCTATACTGGCTGCACACAGGTATCTCCCAAGTAGAGTCGCATGGGTAGTAAAAATTGTGGCGACAGGAAGTTTCTGAGATCGAGACAGTATTAAACCCACTCCTGCCTGCCACTCATGGAAATGGGCAATTATGTTAGGCTTGTCATCAAACTGACAGGTAAGCTGAAAATAGTTAGAATGAACATACATGAAACACACATTATCCCATCCGTCATCCCAGCCCCAGAAATTTTTTTTTTTCATGTCTTCTTCTATGTGCCTGCTTTTTTTCATAGAGGAAAGCAGTACAGTGTTTTAAGTGGTCATGTGTCTTGATTCTCATCATCCCTAATCCTTAGCCCACGAATTAGATGTGCCTCACTGGTGCCTCAGAACAGAATCCTTCCCAGAGTGTTAGGGAGCTCTGGCAAGCACAGTCACTCTTCTTTCTTTTAACTTGCTCTTCTGCTGTTGAAACTCTAGTTTGGATAAGAAAATCATGAGCACCTATGACAGACAAATGATTCTGCAGATTAATAAAGGTTACTTTCTCCAGGTAAACTGTGGTAGAGTGACATGTGAAGTCACAGTGCTATCATTAATTCTTTCAGTCTGTCTACATTCTGTGTTTAAGGTAGTATCTAATTGAGGTGCTATGTCTTTGATTGTCTTCAAGGATATTTTGTGAGTATTACAACTGTACTACCATAGGAGACAAAAAGGGAGTTTGTGATTCTACTTTTAAGAGCGTCTGGTGAAAATTAAGCAAGTTGAGAAGAAACAGAAAGAACTGACATTAAAGACACAGCCGCCCACTCTCCTTGTCCCAGAAAAACATGGTTAAATGATCACTTGAGAATACGGTTAAATGATCACTTGAATTTTAAGTTTTAAATACATTGGGTTATCAATCTCCTTAAAATCACAGTTTTCAAACTGATGAATAGGAACCACATCCCGAAGCTTTTTTGCTCTGCTGACATGTTTGAAAATCTCTAGATTTAAAAACTGTACCTCTTTTAAAAACCAGGCTGTTAATGATCCAAAAATCACGGCATCGTTGGCTTCTCGGTCATGAAAAGGGATCCCTATGTTGCTGACATCCCAAAATTCACCTTTCCACTTGTCCAAATTCCAAGCTGCTGATCCTATATCAAACAGTAAGACATATGGGCTGCCCTCTATCAGCCATCTTCCAAAAAAGACCTATGGGAAAGAGGCAAGGATATAAGTAGAAACATGTTAAAGGGAATGTAAAGGCCAGTTAGCATAATTATTTTCATCCATTAAATATTAAGTGGTTTACATAAGGAATATGTGGTCATAGTCTTACATATCCAAGATTTGCAGGTTTCCTTGCAAAATACATAGAGTAATACTCAACCAAAGGCAGGGGTAAAAGGAAAATACAGTCTTCAGGAATACTTGTTTTTACTCTTTAGGAGTATTTTAAAAGTAAATACTTTAGGAATATTATAATAATCTTTAGGAAAAGCGAGACCAGGGAAGTGACTGTCCACTTGCACTTGGCACTGGTGAGGCCACACTTCAAATCCTGTGTTCAGTTTTGCACCCCTTGTTGACATTGAGGTGCTGGAGCCTGTCCAAAGAAAGGCTGGAGAGCAAGTCCTATGAGGAGCAGCTGAGGAAACTGGGGCTGCTTAGCCTGGAGAAGAGGAGGCTGAGGGGAGACCTTATTACTCTCTACAACTACCTGAAAAGAGGCTGTAGCGAGGTGGGGGTCGGTTTCTTCTCCCAAGTAACAAGCGCCAGGACAAGATGAAATGGCCTCAAGTTGCGACAGGGGAGGATTAGATTGGACGTTAGGAAAAGCTTCTTCACTAAAAGGGTTTTTAAGCGTTGGAATGGGCTGTGGTGGAGTCACCATCCCTGGAGGTATTTAAAAGACATGCAGATGCAGTGCTTAGGGACATGGTTTAGCGGTGGAATGAGCACTGCTAGGTTAGCAGTTAGACTCGGTTATCTTAAAGGTCGTTTCCAACCTAGACAGCCCTATGATACTGTTTTTAAGACTTTAATTTTAGATTTTCATTGAAATGTTAACTTTCATGAAAAAAAAGGCTTAGGAAGACTACAGTTGGTTGAATAGCGTGGTCGTATCTTATTGAAGTATCTATGCCATTTTTGTTCTTATTTCAAAATCTTTATTTTCTTTCAGTCAAATTTGTCTCCAATATTTTGCCATTTGTGCTAGATTACTGGTGACAGATTTTGTGGGACAGCTGCTTGGTACCTGTATCTATTTTGTCATTCCTCCCAAGCAGCATAGCTGATACCCTTTAGCAGAGCAGAAGTTTTAATCAGAAGGCATAATAATACCTAAAAACCACATCAGGCTAAAAATGCAGCTTTCCTGCTTTATCTGCATCAGTATGGCTAAACTTCTCTAAAAGCATTTAGAACTTCACTGATATAACCTACCTGCCCAACCAGGACAGCAGGCTGGACCATCATAAAGGAACACAACACAGCAGGGCCCACACTACAGATTTTACCAGTCTGCACAGTCAAATTATTTCACATTAATGCTACTATCAAAATGGCTATAGCAGTAGAGACATATTAATCAGGAAGAAAAAGGAATCATTTATGCCACTGTTCAAAATCTCTTTTCATGCACCAACCCCTGCAACCTCAGGGGTTGAACTCAACTCTGATTCTAGAATGGGGAGAGTAGAGGTCAAGTCTTGAAAATGAGATGAAAGCTCTTAGAGCAGTTTTCACAGACAGCTCTGTGAAGGAGGGTCAAGTCCTTACATCCTTATTTCAGGCTATCCAGGTTTCTTATTCAGGAAAATGAGGTTAAAAAGCCAGGAGTTTGTGTGAAACCAGCCTTCACCTAAATATGGAGTCAGGTTGTGGCAAGGAACACATCTGACCTGAGAAGTTTGGAAGCATCCCTAGGTCCTCTGGTTTAAAGGGATCCATTGTGATGCATACGCAAAATCCAGACATAAATGTTAATAGGATAAGCACAGCTCCTGGAAACTAGAGCGTCATTATTAGACATCAAAGCTATACTTGACGTACCTGGGACAGATTTGCTGCTATATATGAATACTTCAGCAGCACAATGCATGTGTTGGGCTGGCAGAGCGGGCTGATTAAATTGAATGTATTGCTGCAGCAGCATGGAGTGTATATATAGCACTGCAATTAATCTGCCCCACAAGTCTTTAGCTGTTTTCCAAATAAAGGAGTGTTACACAGCTTGCAGAGACATCTCTTTGTAAGCAACAGAAGCAACATGGGAAACTTGATCAATCACTTATGAAAATCTGATTAGAAATAAGAAGTGGCAGTTAGATTAGACCTTTTAGTTTGAACCTCAGCCTGAACAACCCAAGCATCGCATTTTGTTACTGTCCCCAGCAGACACTTTCCCAAGCTGTGGCACACAGGTGTCCAACAACACACTTCTACATAATACGCAAGAGAGCATTAGATCCTAATAACAGCAGAATTGCAAAAGGACATAACATATTGCCAGTGCCACAGCTGCTGGCAGTCCAAGAACGTCGCGAATTTCTACATTAAGGTGTGTCGTGCTCCTCAGCCACAGAACCTTGTAAGAATGCTTCCTTGCTGCTGCCTCTCAATGCTTTTCACATCTGTTCAGCACGTATTATAAGCAGACAATCTTCCCTCCTGCAAACTAGCATCTCTGAGGGAGATGATGATTCAATGATATATTAGAGTGAAGGTAACTTCTGGATCTCTGATGAGGACTTGAAGAAAGGAGGTCAGATTTAGCATGTGTTATCTTCTACCCATTTTCAGGTAATTAATTCTCCTGAAGGCTGCAGCTGCTTGCAGCTTAGTAGCTTGCCCAGCAACATAGCATATTCCATTCCTTTCAGCAGATCAGCTTCATAGGAAGAAGTTTATTTCTAGTTTATTGATGGAGAAACTGAGCCACAGAAAGGCTATGAAGTTTGACTGAGATCACACAGTAAACACTGGTTAAATATTCTTTAGGAAACACAGATGAATTCACCCCTTGTGCTGTGGTTTAACCTCTCTTCCTAGGGAACAGACAGCTAGTTTCATCTGAGGAAACAGATTCTTGGTCAGGTGGGTGCTTTTCTTAAGTCCTCCTGTGGTTTCTGCCTTCACAGCTTTCAACTCCATATAATGCTACATAAGAAAAATCTTGAGCTAGTGGAACGCTCTGCTCTCTCCAGCACAAGAACGCCAAATGGAGGGGTTCAGTCTAAGTAAGGTCATACAATATGTACTAAAATCTCACTGTATTTAGAGACTAGATAAATAAGTCATTAATCCAATTAAGCAGACTTGCAGATAAATGACTGTTAAAACCTGTAATTGGATAAACAGGTTCTTCCTCAAAAATAACCTTTAATGAATTGACTGCTGTTCTAACGGTGGATTCTGAGCCTTTCCCATTGTGACATTGACCAGGACTGCTGTGTCAAGTGGAACACCAAGAGCATTAACCAAAACTGTAATCTCCTCAGAGTCAGCTTTGTTGCCCTGGGAAGCAGTAACACATCTGATTTACCTGACACCCCTGGCTTTTCATGGTATCCATGGCCTTCTTAATTGCAGGGTTTGGAGGTTCACAAGCTTCCACCTGAGTCTTCACATTGTGCTCAAAATAGGGACCAACCAGAAAATAGTTTTCACCCCATTCATCTGCTGTCGTTTTGGCTTTTGTCTGGATCACAGTGTAAATGCCTCCCACTGCAAAAGAAGATCACAAAGAACAAAAAATAGAAAGGGGCACAGGCCACAAAGCTCTAAAATAAGCTCCAACCCACCTGTGGATCAGATACACTTCTAGTTAAATCATTTCACACATTCAGATCTTAAGTGAAACCCAGATTCTATCAAATAAACAGAAGCTCAGTCTCTTAAGTGGAATCAGAGCTTCACGGTTCAGCTGAGGAGTATGCATTGATGGAAGACTGTGTGTAATTCTTAAATGACCATTGAATGTTTTGCTTACTCCTGGGTGACTGCATATGGCTTTCCTGAATTTCTCCCCTAATCTCAAATGTACACCTTCTGTCCTTCAATGTTATTTTTATCTAGTCCATGATGTCTTACATTTCTTTTAAGTGTTTAAAGTGACACCACAAATGTTCAACCAATACATTATTTTACTCCTATGCTACTCCCCCCTTTTTGGATCTTCACACTCAGATTGTAGGATTCAAATCCTGAGGCTCATGCTTCCACTTTCCCATGCCTAAACTTGATTCTACCACATCCTAAGCACAGTCTTCTACTTTTTTATTGCAGCAGGTATAATTTTCAAACATATTTTTCATTATGTGGAAATGCATGTGTTAAGAACTGAGCTGGCACTTATAGCTTATTTTACACAAATCGCTGACAAAAGTTCAGTGACTGATGGATTTCATAGACTACTGACTATAAAAGTGGATTTAAACTAATATCCTCAAAGCAAAAGATGTCACGTTCCATTATCATTCTAAGGAGTTGTTAAAGTTGGAGTGAATGCAACCTACACTGCCAATATAAATGTCTGCAGCACCTACCACCACAATATCGGTCTGCTCACAGCAATGAGGTTGGATTAGATGATCTCTAAGGTCCCTTCCAACCTAAGCCACACTATGATTCTATGATTTTAAAAAATAAATGTAATATTAAAAAGTATAAGAGAATGTGACAATGATGTCCCCTGATGAGTCAATACACATCTGTCCAGTCTTGCACATGGTATGCAAGATTCACTTAGCTGCTTCTTCCCACAGTTTTCCACTGCCAGCCCTGTAACGCAGGGCTGCCTTGCAAATCCTCCTTTGCCCTAAGACGCACAGTACCAGGGAGCAAGCATTCTATCACAATAAATTTGAAAGAACAGCAGTGCATGTTTGAATCCATGGAGTGGAAGGGAAGGCAAGGGAAAAGACAATCAGAGGCTAGGCAGCTGCTGTACAGCAGAGAGAAGTTTAGCATAGCTCTGGTGATTTTAAAGCGTGGTAAGATAAATGAAGCTCAACAGGTACAAGCAAGCAATGAAAGGACTAATAGGAAGAGAATTAGTGTTCCTGCATGAACATTTCATCCTCCACTGAATTTGGAAAGGTTTGGTAATATTCCAGGCAAGAAGTATGTGTTATGCTTTTCAGTAGGGACATCAAAACTGTAAGAGGAATCAGCACTCAAAGCTGCCAGTGATTGACACCAGTTACTCCAGGCTCACTTTTTAAAGGTACTGGGGCATCCAGAGGTGCTAGTGCACTATACAAGGCAAGAATCTTGAGAAGTTACCCAATCCTCCTTAAAAATCTACCACAAACTACCACTATTTACAATAGAGCAGCTGAAGTTGCTCAGCACTTTGGGAGATTAGTTCCCATATTAATTAAACTGTGTGACCTGACAACTATAGAAAGCCCTCTGCCAAGCCTGGTGTCTTGCCGCTCTGAGAAACTGGACAACAGAGCTATATTTTCTATTGTGTCCCTAGAAACAAAACTGTGCACTTAAAATCCTTTTCTCTACAAATATCCCACTTGTTTTGAATGCTGGAAGGGCCCCTAGCCCTACTATTTTTATGTCAAGATGTCTTAACATTCTAGGTACTTTACAAAGAAAACCTAATGCAGTTCCAATCTACTAGCTTGTTAATTAGAATTATTACAATAAATTATTTCTCTGCATAGTAACTCAAGACCTAATAAAACAAGAATCTTATAGATATATGTTCCTAAGTCAAGCATACATGGCAAGAGTTCATGTCGTATAGTCATGGCAGAAGGAAATATATGCATAAGACTATTCTTCTCTACTTCATTAGGACTAGAAAGCTAAGAAACTAACTTACAGTCATCATACTTTTCCACAGCTGCTGTGGACAAGGACTTAGATAAATCTTAGATAAGTAACACTATATATTCCCTCCAAGTTCCTCTGTTCACAAGCTGAGAGAGACTACCTGAATAGCTTGGATTCAGGTAAACATATAATTTTAATTCTTTGAGACAAGTCAGAATGTTCAACCCATAAAGTGGTAGAGTTGCAATGGCATGTCTGTTCTTACAGGGTAGTAAACACATCGTATGAGCATGAGGCACTTCAATCCAACATCAAGAAATATAGGGCTTGGTAGAAATCTTAGTCATGAAACTAGTTTGTTTTAATTGGCAAAAATACACAAAATAAGAGAAGATTTTTTTGTACAGCCTGAGGGAAAAGAGAAAATATGTCCTTGCAAGATGAAAGACACCAAATAACATGGTAGAGCTGTATATAACTAGAGGGCTGCAAAGCTCCTTCCCCATCACTACAAGAGCAGAGATCAGCCTCTTTCATACTGCCAGGTGTTCAGCGTTGAATCAGCTGTTTCCACAGCTATTCATTTTCAGAGCAGTAAGAAAGCTGCAGCTCAAGAGCTGAGTAGAGCCCAGAGCTTTGCTTTGTACAGCCAACAAGGTCTTTTTCACAACGTTTTGCTTAGGACTGCTGTGTGTCCTACAGCATGCCCTGCCCAAAGTCATCTTGAAGGTTCTGATGGAGAAAAGGTAAAAACATTTCAGGGCACTGATTTGCCTTAAATGCAGTGAAAAGTACTTAGGGTTAAAAAAAAATAAGGGCATGTTTTATGGATTGTGAAAACTCTTCAGAAGATAGCTGTGATAAAAGCTCTGTATTATCTGGCCCCAAAACTTGATTTGTTTTCCCTGTTACCATGGAAATACGACTCAAAGCATGTCTGTGCATAAGCTTTAATTGACAGGGGAGGGAAACTGTGCAAGGGAAACTATGTATGTGGAAAGTGTTGGGCATAATTTTAAAAAAGACACCTCAAGAAGAACAGAGCAATGTCTAGAATAATGTATTTACTTTGGAAATTACACTTTCTAATAGCAAATTCAAGGAACACATTACATATCATTAAGATATAGCTTATATCTGCTCAGCTACTTTGAATTCCCTAGAAGTACCTGTGCTAGTAAGCAATGTGTTACATACCTTGTGGAGGAACAGACTAAAGGTTGACATATTCACCTGAAGCCTAACAGAATTCCCAAACTGCTTTCAACAATTTGATAAACCTCCTTAAACTTCTCTAATATGATGGTTTAAGATCATATTATAAACAGAAAACCTTTCCAAACTACAGAGATGTACCAAAATCCTACAATATTGCAAGTTCCTGTAGGCAGCTCTGAGGTTTTGTACTTTGAAACATGTTTTACAATGAACAATAAAAGACAAAATGAGAAACAGATGCAGAACCAGGAGAGATCAGAACCAGATAATAGGTTTGGATCACCACAAACATGGGGAAATAGCAGTAAAATGTGGATACAGGGCTAGGTTAGTGTTCTGATCTCCATCAAAACACTTTATTCAAATAATTTAAGTTTTTGAAAAATTTAAAATGTCCCTGAGAGAAAAATATTTCTACTATTTCTTTTTTTTAAATACGTGGTTTTAACTTTTTGACCAGAGTAAAGGAAATCAAATTAATACAGGGAACATTTTCCCCATTTATTTCCTCTCTATTCTTCTTCTTTTTCCAGGGAAGAATACACTGATGTGGAAAGAGGAAGTAAAATGTTTGAGAAAGAAGGATTTTGTTCAGTTAAGAGTAGTTCATCATTTTTTTTAGTGGCCTCTTTAAAAAATAGAAGATGAAATACAATATCTTCTCAGAAAATATTTCATAGAATTATTTACAAAAGTTTGAATGTTTTCATGTATGTTGCCACTAAGAATTTGTCTAAAGGAGTTATTTGCATCACTCCAGCCATTTCCTTCTTTCTTCAGTTCAAGTCTTGGTGCATTATTCCTTTTGTATATTTAAAATCCAAGCAGCAGTTAGAGACCTCCATCAGAACCATCTAAATAAACAAAAAGCCTGTGAGTCACGAACAGTGTCCCGATGTCATATCGCTACTGAGGACAATATTAGGCAGAAGCAGAGATCTAATCGTGCAACTGAAGATCTTCATGCAAGCTCTAGTATGTAGATATGCTCTTTCTGCCTCAAGTGCACCAGGTGAGGTTTAAGAAGGAGGTTTATTAGGAAAAATTTCTTTACTGAAAGAGTGGTGAGGCGTTGTAACAGGCTGCCCAGGGAAGTGGTGGAGTCACCATCGCTGGAGGTGTTCAAAAAAATGTGCAGATGTGCCACTTTGGGACATGGTTTAGAGGTCATGATAGTGTTGGGTTGACAGTTGGACTAGATGGCCTTAGAGGTCTTCTCCAACCTTAATGATTCCATGATTCTATGGTTCAATGTTGTTATATGGAAAAATGCATTGCCAATGCTTTTTGTCACCTGATGAGGAAAGGTCCACAGCTTCCAGGGCTACGTAGGAATTGCCCTGACAAAAAAAAAAGCCTTCTGGAGCTGTGATCCTCTGACCATGGAATTGCCCAGACTTCTCAAAACTGCCAGAGATACCCCCTGCTCATTTTACTCATTCTCCCACTCACCCCACATGCCAGAAGGACAGAGGGAAGGAGCAGCAGAAACCAAAAAAGAAAGGAGAGAGATATCAAGAGAAACTGTGTGAGACAGAGAGAAGCGGAGATTGTCACTGACTGCCGAGTTCTTCCCCACACGCGTTTGCTACGCAGGAGCAGAGGATCGGGGTGCTCCCAGAGCTCCTCAGCTTCTTTGCTGTGACATGACCAGGCCACTCTGGAGGCACAAAAGCTTTCCTGGGGACTCTGGCTGCCAGGGAATCCAAGAAAGAAGTGGTACCCCAGGTTCAGGATTCAACTGAGTTCACAGCTACATTTACCAGTTACATCAACTATCACAGAGTCATAGAACAGTTTTGGCTGGAAGAAACCTTCAAGATGATTGAGTCCAATGTTTTCCTAGCCCTATCGACACCACTAAACCATGTCCTTCAAGGCAACATCTACCTTTTCGCCTCTTCCCCACAGAATGTGTCTCCAATCTCTAGAGATGCGATAGAATTGGGCTTGAACTTGTTTTTCCTAATGTTTGGTTGGAATTTTATTTCTTGATTGATTTATTGATTACCTGTTGAGATATGTGAGAACTATTTATAAAATAAGGTTGTAAAATGTGTCAGGTGAAAAAAAATCAGCATCTTCACAGAGCAGATGTTTTCCATGTATTTTTTGGCTCCATTTGCAGCCAGGACTCATCAGAAGATGCAAGTTTTCTAAATTCTGTGAAATTCTGGCATTTTGAACATATTTTGAAATAATGCTGAAAGCACTGAAATTTATAGCAGATGTCCACAATACAAAAGCTATTTCTGTGCGCATCATCCCCAATGCACAAAATTTCTTTTGAGATTGATTTGACACTGACATACCACCCCGCTCTCGAGACACATGGAGCTTTGGTGCTGTGCTTATGCCAAGTTTATGCCAACACATCCCCATGCCCCAAAGTGTATTAGTTCAGGTGTGTCACAGATTGTAGCATTCACCTTCTCCCAAGGAAATTCCACCATGGAAAGATGTTTAACACAGAGGAGGCAAAATGCTGGTCCTACTGATTTCAGTAGATTCAAGCTTTAATTTCTAAGAGTCCAGATTTTCACCAGAGAAACCGTACATAGAGCTCTGCTCTGGAGAGAGCTGAACCAATTTTTATTTTTTAGCAGAGTCTTCATTCCAACAGGGACAGGAAAAAAAATATTTAGGATTTATCTACCAATGCCTCTTGAGCTGATCTGTTCACAGCTGAAGGATGATACAAGCTGGCTGTTTGCCCAGCATTTTTAAGTATTCTTCTCTTTTCTATGTAAAAGCTGTTAGCAGTATAGCAGGAGATGCTAACAAAAATATTACTGGAATGATTTTAAAGACATCTTTACAGAGCACACACCAGATCCTGAACATGCTCAGCTCTTCTTATTAAGGTATCAAAAAAACCACTAAACTACAGCTGACTGTTATTCTAACATACAGAATTAAACTTCTCTCCCCACCCCCAGCCCCTGATTAAATACTTCAGTTTTTAGTGGGTAAACATTTAAAAGAGGTTAAAGAGGACAGAGCCATTTTCACCGTAGAAAATGTCCAGGACTGCCGTCATTACTTTTGCAATGGCCTTTGGCAGCTCCTTGATGATAATTTCCAGCTGTGGCACTTCAGACAGAGCTTGGAGCCTCTTGGTTTGTGCCTGTATGCTTAAAGTTTTAATCAGTCTTCAAATTATGAAGGAAAGAAAACCAGGACTCTTTTTCCAGTGTGCACAGAGATAGGACCAGACTTGGCTTTATCAGAGTACGGTAGCGAGGAGAGAAGCGGAAAGGAGAAAAATGCCAAGTTTCTTCATGATTACCACGGGATCATGTGGCATGACAGTGCACTGGGGCCCTTGCCTGCCTGCTTTTCCCTCCCTTTTATCACTGAAACACAGGAGAGCCACTTGACAGTATGGGTCTTTCCCATCAGTGAAGAGCCAAATAAAGTGAGGAAAATCTTGCAGAACAAACTACCCTTTTCTCATTCCTTTGGCAGGAGAACTTCCAATGCAAGATGATTTCAATGTTGTGCTTTGTTTAGGTGGCAAGTTCCTTTTCACAAGGCTTGAGGGAAGGGGGAGGGAGAGTGGCACTGGCAAATGAGCCTTTTTTGTTTCTCATTCTCACCTTCAGCTACCTTATCTTTACTCGGTCCAAATAGAGGAGAAAGAAGAGCAACTGAGATGCTGATGCTTTCAAACACATATGTCTGAGGTTGCCACTTGACACAGGCAGCAGCAGCAAGAACAAAGAATATAAAAAGGAAGCAAGTAGAAAGCTCCGCCTTGTTAAAGCATGTATTAAATGATGTATACTTAAGAAGAGGCGCTTTCAGTGTGCCAGCTGCTGAGAAAGAAGTGATGGGGCTCTGGAAATAATGGATACTTGTAGATCTCTGAGCACTGACAACTAGCTTGTCCTTCCCTACAGCTGCATCTCGCATCTCAGTACCAACCAGCACCATCAGGCTCCCTGCAGGCAGCCTGCCACACAAAGACCCCCTCAAGCCACATAGTCAGATGTGCTTCAATTTGCAGGACCCCTTCATCATCCTCAGAATCTGAAGGAGAATATATTTAAGAGGTTCAGAAAACAGCTCAGCACCTGTAAAGGGCACTGTATACAGGTGTAGGAATAGAGAGTCATCTGTGAGATGCAGTAGCATGTTCCTCCCAGGGAAGACGACGTTCAGCCCTGTGGTCACTGCCACAGAGAAACTGAGGAACCACAAAGCAGCAACACTGGTCAATGAGGAAATGGAGCTGTAGCCAAGCACCTGATGATTTGCATGAAGTTAACGCAAAGATTCGACCTCTCTCCAGTAGACAACAGCAGCTTTACACCACTTTGGCAATGTAAAACAGCTTCATGCCGAACTACTCTGGCACACCTTCGAGTGGCCAGAAAGGGAGAAAAAAACCTTCACGTTAAATGCTCAAAATCAGCGTGTCAGGCAGGAAACCCAGCTAATGCTTATCATTCCCTCTATACTAGGAACATATATGGCAACATTAACACTGAAACACTAAAACACGCAGCAGTACTAAATCTACGTGGGGTCAGCCAACTTAGTGAAATAAACAGTTCTCTCTTCTGCTAAAGGAAGTGAGAAATAGTGTAAGCTATTATTTCCTAAGTGTATGTATCTTCTGTGATCACTCTCCCTGTATTTTGTTGCCTGCTCTCTCTCCTAAGAATAACAGCACTGTAACATTCTCTCAGAACTGTTTATAAAAGCTAGGTCACGAGGGAACAGTATCTCACCATGTGACTTAGATGTTCAATTGCTGGAAGATATAGGGGAAAAAAAAATTAAACCTTCAGTGTCAAAAATTTACCAGAAAAATCATCTGAAATGGGCTTATTAAAGAGTTTTTGCACAGATGCTTCCAGTCAACATTGGTTAATGGAAACTTTGCACAGAATTCCAGTTCTAACAAAGAAATTGTTTGCCATGACTAGTTTGGTAAGCCTCATTTTAATATATGGTTTTAGCAAGTGGTGTAATTAACAGCACCTTATTTTTAAACTAACTGAATAAATATTCATTATCATAAATATTAATGTTCCCATTAAATATAAAATAATAAACGTAAATAATAAATATATAATAATAAATTTCTATAATAAGTTATAGAATAATAAATTTTAGCCTTGTCAGTTGATTTGGCTTCATCAAGTCAACAAGAGCTATATGGATGGTTATATGATTCACTGTGGGTTTTTACATATACAGAAAGACAGGTAAGTCTAATTTTGTATTACTTTTTCTCAAACACGTTGTGTGATAACTATAACCAATGGGTCCAGATGACTCAGAAAATATATATGCTATGGAGTCTCTCGACTCCATAGCATATATATCCTGTGAGATGTTAGCAGGAACACCTAAATTTCCTAGATCTCTGCTGCCATCTGCTTGCCAGTGCCTTACTTATGCATACTGCAAAAGTAAAGGTTGCATGCTCTGACAGTAGTAAAATAACTGAAAAAACTTGACTGAAGCTACTGAAAAATGAGCCCACAAGGAGTCAAAGTGCAAAGGCTACTCTGTACTGCCTCTGGGTATCGATTCTCCTCACCACCCTAAAAAGAGCAATGTAAAATTGCACTGCGGTACATATAAAATACCAGAAGCTATCATGGAACTGTAATTCCAGTTTCACCATGTGGATAAACCCTACCACTGCCTGTTTCTCTCACACACGTTTCTCCTTTAGAGTTAAAATCTTAACAGATTATAGATCCCCCCTCCTGACTACTCTCTCTATTTATCTGCCAGGACAACAAGACACATGAGGTCAATCATTTACTCATACTAACTCACTTTTGTGGAGAAAACGGAGCATGTTCCTCTGTGGTAAACTACACCTAGATGAAAGGAGATGTTTTGATGAGTGGATTAGAAATGGAGGCAGCAAGATCTTTACACAACAAGCAGTGTGCACTTTGCCTGACAAGCTACGTGCAGCGAAAAAATTATCAATCTGTACACACACACAAAGCATGAAGTCCTTGTCTGGCACCACCTGTGTTTGCAAAGACCAGTCTAAAAGGGTTTCAGCTGGCATAAAGGCTGCTGGTCATTGACATTTGTTTTTTGTTCAGCGGATTCAACACAGCTATGTTTATTTATACCTATTTCAATTTCGGCCTCCTGTCCACGCGGTTGTAGAAGGCTGAGGAAGACTGCTAAACTGCTTTGATTCTGATGTCTGTTTTATAGCTCTTTTTCATGCATTATGTTCCCAAGTGAATTTGCACGGAAGGCAAAATATAAATATGTACAAATAAAACACCTATATATCCAAACATCTGCACACCCAGGCATAATGACCCTTTGATGTTTGTTCAAACAACCGATCCCTGGTGGCGAAACATGCAAAGACACACAGATATCCTACCTAGATACGCTTATCCCACACAAGCACAGGCAGATGCAGGCACACACACAACATGCACAGTGACACACGGGTGCCACATGCGCTCCTCCTCATGCAAAGGCTCTGCAGCCCACTGGTCCCCAACCTGCCCCTAAGGCCCTCCTTGCCCAAGCCCTTTGTGCTTCCTTCCACTCCCGTGAATATGGTGATACCAAGGGTTTGGCCTACAAACCTTTGTTGGTAACTTCCCAAGAAATTTCAAAGAGCAACAAATCCTCCACCGGCAGGTCTTCGTCCTCCCACTGAGGAAGCCCGTTCAGAGAAGTCATGGACAGCGATCGAGCCAGAGGCATTTTCTTCAGCCCTTGAACACTCACCACACAGGTCACAACAGATAGCAAATGTCCAGTTGAGGTGGCAGCTCTCTGCAGTTCTGGTTAGAGCAGTCTGCCCGTGTGCTGGGCTCCGAGGAGAATATTATTCAGATAGCTGGGAGCTAATGGGTTTAAACTGTCTGACCACCAGCATTAAATTGGCTCAGTGAAATCCTCAGGGCTTGAGAAGCAGCTGCTGATGGAGGTAAGAATTTAAGACCGACCTGAGAAAGGTCTTGATTGTTTTGGGAGCTAGGGTTCTTTCTTCTTCTTCTCTTGGAGGGAGGTAAAAAATGGTTTTGAGCTCCTCAGCCACAGCATTCAGTACCTACGACCTCAGGGACAACCAGAACTCAACGGTTGTAAATTCAGCAGTGCCCTGAGCAAACTCCAGCAAGCAGGACACTGAGTTCACCACCTGATTTGAGTCCAGCCCTTGAGTCCTCCCCTCGAGATACAGCCTCCCATTAACACCCATTGACCTTCTCTATCTTCTGGCTGCTTACTGACCGGGTTAGTAGACTCATTCTACATGATGCCACTCAAATTACTTGCCAGGTTAAATGCTGTTTCCTATTCTTTTTCAGTTCATCATTTCTGTAAGCACTAGTTTATCTCATGCCCTTCCTCCACAACTAACTCCAGCTGTGTTCCCAGGGCTCTACACAAGCTGTTGGCTTTGTTGTGCTCTCACGCAGCCCTGGGAGCTTTTACAAAGGCTCTATCCCTACTTCAGCATGCACTTGGGCCCTCCTTGCAGTCCTGGTCCCTGATTTTCTACCTGATTCCTCTTTTTCTATGCTACAGCTCTTTTCTAACCTCGGGGCCCACATCCTCTGCCCAAGGAAACTGGTGAGTCAGGGAACAGTATGGCCTTGTCTTGCTCCAGGACAAAGCTGGGTTGCTGCAAGCAGTGCACGCACAACTGCAGAGAGGTTGGTCCCTAACTCGCAGCCTGAGATCCAAAAAAGCTCCACAGAGCAGCTGCCTGCCTGGAAGATGCTTATGTGCTTACACATCTGGTGGAGAAGCCAGTGCTTCTGGGACAACTATTAAGTTGAAGTCACACCTCAAGTGCTGTGTCCAGTTTTGGGCCCTTCACTACAAGAGGGACACTGAGGTGCTGGAGAAGGTACAGAGGTGGGCTACCAAGCTGGTGAAGAATTTGGAGCACATGTCATATGAGGAGTGGCTAAAGGATCTGGAGCTGTTCAGCCTGGAAAAGAGAAGACCGAGGGGAGACTTTACAGCTACCTGAAAGGAGGTTGTAGCGAGGCAGGGGTTGGTCTGTTCTCCCCAGTGGCAAGTGGCAGGACAAGGGAAAATGACCTTGAGTTGCACCAGAGGAGGTTCAGGTTGGATATTAGGAAGGATTTCTTTACTGAAATTGTCGGACATTGGAACAGGCTGCCCAGGGAGGTGGTCGAGTCACTATCCCTGGAGGTGTTCAAGAGATGGGTAGATTCTGTGCTGAGGGACATGGTTTAGTGGTGTTGATAGGGCTAGGACAAAGGCTGGACTCGATGGTCTTGAAGGTCTCTTCCAGCCAAAAGTGTTCTATGATTCTATGATTCTGCTTTTGAGCTTAGATCACAACCAGCCCAAAATCCTCAGTGAGCAAATCTCCAGATGAGATCCAGGGCATCTCTGGCACCATGAAGGAGAACATTGCACCAGCAGGGATAAACTACCTAGTAATATAGAGGGAAAGGCTCTGAGCTCACTTAAACAAGTCCAAGGCAATAGGTTTAGAAGACATGCAGGCCATCTGCATAAAAATCTCTTAGACATAACACAGTGCAGCTGAGCCTACTTTAACAGCTAACTATCACCGCAAAGACTGGTTCTGGGCATTGCCCGTGCCCTCTCTGCTCTTACTGCAGTCAGAGCCATCCCTGAGCTGATGGCTACAGCCCATCAAACTAACCTGAGGATGCATAAATTTTTTTTGTCAAGTTAGGAACTAGAGCTATCTTAGCAAAGAGCCTGTCAAGAGGGTATGGAGCAGCACAGCTGGGAAGAGGAAAAGACGGGAAATATGAGAGAGAACGTTGCCTCGCCTTTCCAGGCAGCACTGCTTGTAGGAGGGCTCAGCTGTGCTTGTGCCATTTGGCCATAGGCTGGGCCATGTACTGGGAGAAAGAGGTTTCCCTTCTGGATTAACTGGAAGGCTTTACAGCCTGCCCAGGGAAGGATTCAAGGGTTTATAGGCTGGGTGTCTTTTTGTCTCAATGGTTTGAGTTGCTCTCTTTACCAGTTTATGGGAAGAAAAAAAAAAAAAAGCCTGGCCAAAATTGACTGTTATTGGAGCTGCTGTGACTTTTACTACCTGGAGTAGTAATGATGATCTTATCCTATAGGTTAAAAATTGTGTAAACTAACTAAGTCTCACTTCATTTCTGACCCATTAAGTCTGCCTGAGTCACATTTTCACACTTTGCTCTGGCAATCCTGAAGGCAAGGCTGAAAGCTGTCAGTCTCACAGAGGCCTCCCAGGTAAGAACAAAGACACACAAAAGCTTGTCCTAATCCCACGGGCTTTTGTCAGCCCTGATAAATATGCTGCAAAACCAACGATGTTTTAAATGAGGCACCTGGGGGTGCTTAGACTCCCAACCTGCCTCCCTAGTCTTTGCGACTACCCAAAAGGAGGTTGTAGCAAGGTAGGGATCAGTCTCTTCATAGAGTCATAGAATCAAAGAATGGCCTAAGTTGGAAGGGACCTTAGAGATCATCTAGTCCAACCTCCCTGCCATGGGCAGGGACACCTCTCAACTAGATCAGGCTACTCAAGGCTCTGTCCAGCCTGTCCTTGAACACCTCAAGGGAGGGGGCAGCCACAACTCAATTCATTCCAAAGTCTTGTCACCCTCATACTGAAGAATTTCTTTCTAAGATCCAGTCTAAATCTATTCTCCCTCAACTTAAACCCATTTCCCCTTGTCCTATCAGTGGACACTCTTGTAAAAAGTCTCTCTCCAGCCTTTCTGTAGGTTCCCTTCAGGTATTGGAAGGCAGCTATTAGGTTCCCCCGAAGTTTTCTCTTTTCAAGACTGCGCAAACCCAGCTCCCACAGCCTTGTAGCAGAGGTGATCCAGCCCCTGGATCATCCTTGTGGCCCTCCTCTGAACACGCTCCAACAGATCTATGCCCCTCTTATGGTGGGGACATCAGGACTGGACTCAGTATTCGAGGTGGGGTCTCACAAGAGCAGAGTAAAGGGGGAGAATCACCTCTCTTGACCTGCTGACCACGCTTCTCTTGATATATCCCAGGATGCGGTTGGCCTTCTGGGCTGCATGAGCGCACTGCCGGCTCATGTTGAGCTTCTTGTCTATCAACACCCCCAAGTCCTCTTCAGGGCTCCTCTCAACTCACTCTGTGCCCAGTTTGTATTTGTGCCTAGGACTGGCCCAACCCAGGTGAAGGATCTTGCATTTTGCCTTGCTGAAGCTCATGCAGTTTGCAGTGGCCCATTTCTCAAGCCTGTCAAGGTCTCTCTGGATGGCATCTCTTCCCTCACGTGAGTCCACGGCACCACACAGCTTGGTGTCGTCGACAAACTTACTGAGGGTGCGCTCAGTGCCGTCATCCATGTCACTGACAAAGATGCTGAACAGCACTG